GGATCTCTGTTATGCAAGTAATCATTCCTACAGCCTGCCTAGTGTAGCTGGGCTCCTAGAAGAAGGCAGATATCATGGGAGCCAGAGCTTTGGAATTCCACTCAGTTATCATCTGCATAACTAGAGAAAATTTTCACTAAGCTTTTCCTTTGTTCCTCTGATGTACAAACTTCCTTAGAAGTTTTGATAAAAATCCATTGAAAAGCAACCCAATCATGTTTTTGTGCACATTTGGGATAAGATGTAGGTGGGATAGGAAAAAATTGAATTTTAATGAGAAAAGACTTCTAGGTAGAGAAAATATTCAAGAGCAAAGGAACAGAAATAAGAGACTGGTGCTTTTTAAATTTAATATTCTAATGTAGAGAGTAAGGAACAAAATAGGAAAAATGTAAGCATGAAACTGTTTAAGAAGATCTCTTCTCTCATGATGAGTTAAATGTTATTTCATAGGGAGTTAGCGTCTGTCTTGGGAGAGCATTGTTGAGTGAGTGCAGTAAGAAAATCCGAGCCCATGAGGTTGGATGGATGAGCATCAAGAAAATAAGATGGTGTTTTCTTTTTTAGATACATATAAAAAAATAATGATGATGATGATGTTAAAAAAACAGATAAAAGTTCAAATGGGAATCTAGAGAGAAATGGTACTTTAATATAGAACTAAGAAAATAGAAGTACAGAGGAGGGGGGAAAAAGACAAAATAAGAAAAAGAAACTTGGAAAGTGAAATCAACCAGGTTGATTGGCTATGGATACAGCAGAAGATATCAAATGATATATAATTTAAAAATCTAGGGATTCATTGGAAGGTAGATAACAGTGCTACCAAAACAAACATGGAATCTGCCTCTTCCAATGCATCAGTTCAAGGGCTGTAAGTGGCTTTGCTCATCAGTTTGATCCCAGTGACTAGCAAAATACCCAGCTCCAAATGGGTTTTTGATAAAAATGTGCTGAATGAATGAATAATAGTGGGATGTTAGAAAGAGAAAATAGTGTATTTAACTTTAAACAATGACCTTGAAATATGTACAAAACATTTAAGCATTTGAGTTAGAAAAATCGGTATCTGTCTCAAGAGAATTTGAGATATGACATAGAAACCAATTTACTGAGATCTAAGGGAATTTTCATAGATAGCCACATTGGCATGACCTCCCCATAATTTGAAGCATTCAGTACAGAAATACAAATAGACCTTCATATATTGGGACTCAAAAAAGTATCTAAAAATTATAAAATTAAACTAACACATTGTTTTAAAAATATGTTCTATCTTTTTTTGTTGACAAATATAGCTTATGATGACAGATTTGAATATAGGATTCTCAACAAAAACCACAGATGCTGAAGATCCAACAATTTGCTGAACACTTTAATCCTGTGGCCAACAGTCCAAGAATGCACACCCCTGCTACAATGGGCTGCCCTCAGAAGAGCAAGCCCAAGGAAGAAGATTCCACAGACTCTGGTAGGATATTCAAGAATGGTTCAACCTGAGAATTCTAGAACCCCAGATATCCAGAGTCTAATCTAGAAGGAATTAAAAGTAGAGCAGATCCTAGAAAAGATTTGCTCTTATTTTTATCTGAGTATAGTATTAGAATAGTCCTAATAGACAATATAGATAAGCTGGATGAAAAAACTTAGTCTGCAGAAGGAAATAATGATGAAACCAACAGACAAAATGATAAGTTCTTGAACAACAGAATTCAGGTCCTATGATCTTAGCTCTTGAGAAACTTTGCTAACTTTTTTTCACTCTATTTGTGTCAGGTTCTTCTCTGGTTTTATTATAATTTTTCCTAGATAATTTGAGTTGGTTTCAATTCCTTGTAATCAAATAACTCATGATTAAGAAAATATAATCATTAAGGCTATGAGAATATCCAGGAAGGGGATACAAAATGCAAAATGAGCTAAGAATGTAACCTACAATTTCACAGCTTTGACTGAGTAGATCTACTATATCTGAGAGATGTGGGAATGATCCAGAAGGAGAGAACAAACACCCAGAGAAAATTTTTACTAAATTTATTAGCCTTCCTTAAATTTTTTTTTACTCCTTCTGAAAATATTTGAACTATAACAAAATCTCAATGAATCAACCAATCCATTTTGCTTGTATAAACTCACTCCTGCAAAATCATTGACCATTTTCTGAAATGTTTTGCTTGTATAAACTCACTCCTGCAAAATCATTGACCATTTTCTGAAATACAGAATTTTAAGGTGGTCCCATGCTTTCTCTCTATTCTCTGAGAACAAATATCTGACTGGTAAACACCGTTCACAGAGCAAACTTGCACATAAATTCACCCTAACAAGGATCTGTGATAATGAATGTGCAAGGAGGGAAAACATCAAGAAACAAAACAAACAAAACCACTGTTTTTCAATTCCACCAAGGCTCCCTTCTCAGGAATTCAACAGATGATAAAAAATGAAAAAACAGAACTACTATGGCAAAGACAAGTTGCTCTGCGTGTTTGGCAGGGGAAAACAAAGAAAAGGATCTCATTGTTAGGGTAAATTTTCACATTTCAAAAACGAAATAAAAAGACACATGTAATTCTGTGGGAGTTAGTGAATGATATCAGAAGTCCGTCAGGCATACTAGGGCCAAACCTCCATAGCAATCAACAGAAAATGCAAAGAGTATCATTTAAGTCCTTGCATTGAAGAAGTAAGCTGTAAAAATAGAATGGGGGAAACATTACACTTAAAAAATGGAATGTCTGTCCTGAGACCAAATAAACCACTGACAGATGAAGAAATTTACTTCAACCTAATCATCAGGGACCTATGTGCTAAATAGAAAAGAATCAAAGAGTAGGCTCGCAAATCAAGCTTTAGCACATCTGAGAACAAAAGATGGTGTCATTATAGTAACATATGCATATCACAGAATCTTCAAGCTTATAAATAGCTAATGTACAGAGACAAAAGAATAAATAAATATAAAGCAATCCTGGTTGTAGAGAAGAGAATATTTATGAAATGAAGGAATTATGTATGCATTAGGAGTCTCATGAACCCAATGTACATAGAATGGAAAACAGATCAAAAAAAGACTTAGCTATAATGTCATGCAATCTTTTTTAATTTTCACCTGAGGAAACTAAGCAACAGAGAGTAAAGGCTATCTTACAAAATAGATTAGTCACTCTCAGTCAAAGCAATGCAAAAAAAAAAAAAAAAAAAAGTGGAGCAATGTCCACAATTAGCCTAAGACTAATTTTAAATGATTACTGTAAACCAACAACAACAAAATAAAATAAGACAAACAACAAAATTGTATACACATTTTCTCTTTCAGAATTATCTCATTAAAATGTTTAACCCTCAAGCAATATTGCCTTAATTCTTTAATAAAAGGAAGTCTTTATTTAACACAAGGGAAATATTGTAGAATTTAAAAAAGTTAAAAACCTAAAACATTGTTTTTTTTAAAAAAAATTTAGCTTGTTTTGGTTCATAGTAAAATAGGAACTTCAGAGTTGACACTGTGTTATGGTTTGGATGTGAGGTGGCCCCTAAGAGCTCAAATGTGAGACAGTGTGAGAAAGTTCAGAGGAGAAATTATTAGGTTGTAAGAGCCTTTAACCCAATTCATGATTTAATTTCCTGATGGGATTAACTGAGTGGTAACTAAAGTGATAGGGTGTGGCTGGAGGAGGTTGGAATTGGGGCATGAGTTTGGGTATATATTTGTATCTAGTGAGTGGACTGACTGTCTCTCTCTCTCTCTCTCTCTCTCTCTCTCTCTCTCTCTCTCTCTCTCTCTCTCTCCTTCCTGATCACTTTAATTTGAGCTGTTTCCTTATGCCACACTCTGCCACCATGATGTTCAGCCTTACCTTGAGCCCAGAGGAGTGAACTCTGTGGTATATGGATTGAGACTTTTGAAACCATGAGCCTTTAAATAACTTTTCCTCCTCACGATTGTTCTGGATGTGTCTTTTAGTCAGAACAGTGAAAAAGCTTACTAAAACACACTGAATATATATAATGCAAACAACAGAAATTATTCTATTTTATTTTTAGGGTTTAGTTTTACGATTGCCACCTGCTATGGGTTGGATGATTGTGGACCCTTAAACTGATAAGTTGAAATCCTCATCCTCCGTTGTGATGACATCAGGAGGTGGGGCCTTTGGCAGTTGACTACTCACAAGGGCAGAACACCCGTGAATGAGATTAGTACCCTTATAAAACAGATCCAAGAGAGGTCCCTCTCCCCTTCCTCAGCAAGGATGCAGCAAGAATGTGACCACAAGACAGATTTTTCATGAAAGAAGAAGCACTAGGCACCAAATCAGTTGGTGCCTTGATCATAGACTCCTGGGATTTCAGAATTGTAAGAAAATAACTTTCAGTTGTTTATCAGCCATTCAGTTTATGGAATTCTGTTATATAAGACTAAGAATCCATCTCATCCACCTAGATTAAAAGCAAGGGACAATGACTTAAAGTGTGTCAGATTCACCAAGGCCCCTCATCTCCCTGGTACATAGATTGCTTTTCCTACATTTTTATCTTCATATCAGAAAACAAGATAGTAGGAATCCATGAAAATCTTCACTAATTCCAGAGGAGTTCCCCTCTGGGCACAGTGAGATTAGGTGTGTGGCTCTGAGGAGTCAAGGTAAGGAGCCCTCTCTTACAGAGGATGCTCACTATCTCCTCACCTCCACCTACTAAGCTCCTACATGGCAGGTAGTAGCCTGTCCAAAAAGCCCACCACCTTCTTCCAGCCTGATTTCTCTTCATTATCACATTAGCTTCTCTCTATTATATTAACACTCCCACTCCACCTTCAAGTAGAAGACTATTTCTTCCCAAATCCTGCCCCCTCACTCCTGGTCCCCAGATACCTACCTTTTGAGTGTTTCTCTGATTGTTAACCATCCCATTATAATGCCAGCCACTTCAGCAACACATTCTATTCTCATCATTGCATGTCAGTAAGTTTCTTATGGAGCCTTTAGAGTACTCACTTTTCGGTATTAGGCATTCTGGAAACTTGTAGGAAGCCAACAACCTGATCACTCCATCAGTCTTGAGGCAGCTACTGACAATGGAGAAGCAAAGGTCCTTTCCCATGCTGAATTCTTCTTTCAACCAGCACTTTCAGAGCACAGAAGACCTGTATGGCTGGAGTCAGATAAGATTAGCATAAGCTCACTGCAAATCAGCAGCTGTACCACTCTACTCAGGAAGATATCATTCCTGTGGGCAGCAACATTCACTATTGAGAATGTTTTACAATTGTTTTCTACACTATGTTTTGAGAAAATGGAATTATAGATAACTTTAGTAATGGTTTTCTTTACTGCATACCTATTTTTCAGAACCACAAGGGAAATATTTCAGAATGGAACTATTTCTTTATGTTGCTAGAAATTGTTTAATGACTCTTCAGAGATACACACACACAAACATACCTACATGTACATACATACATATTTCATATATAATATATATACTAATATAAAACATATTTCATATGTAATATATGTAACATATATATACATGGAATACTTTTGTTGTTATAGCTGGTGAGAAGTCTATTTATGACATGAAAGTAAGCCATCCACAAACCACAGATATGGATCCTTTTTTCTCATTCTCTATAATTCTTTGAGACCATATTGTTGCAAGTTATGGCCATGCCTCACAGCCATAGCCATGAATCTTTACCAAGGGAAACAATTCTTCACTCAGTAAAGTTATCTCCTATGATGAAGTTGCAGATTTCCTTTGACTTGGTCCTACCAACCATTGTCAAGATACTGTGAACAAGGCTTTTCTAATGTCTCCTCAACCCAGAACGATCTGGAGATATCAAAGTGTTAAGGGACAAATAACAATTAAAGATAGTTTAAGGAGAAATGGTACAAAATTATGAATGAAACACAGGTAGATGAATAAACCTCAAAATATACTGGGAAGAATAAATTTCAGATTTTATAGAAACATGAATAGTGAATAGGAGTTTAGTTGATAATAATTACTAATTAGTTCAGTATAGATTTAGTGAATGACATAGATAATTGATTGTCTCAAGAGAATCATCTTTCAATTTGAGAAGACTTTTATATTAGTTACAAAAGAACAGAAATATTAAAAGAAAAAACATAACTCCAATAATAGTCTTAAAACAAATTATATGAAGCATCTGTGAATGTGGAGCATATAAAAAAGAGCCAGTGGGGCTGGGGTTGTGGCTCAGTGGTAGGTAGAGCACTTGCCTAACACACTCGAGGCCCTGGGTTGGATCCTCAGCACCACATAAAAATAAGTAAATAAAATAAAGGCATTGTGTACAACTACACCTAAAAAATAAATATTAAAAAAAGAGCCAGCACCAGCACTGTGAAGTTAAAAGAATACAGGACTCTTTTCAAAGGACCTCAGTTCTAGACTGGTCTGCTGCTTACAGAGCTGTGGTGCATTTGGCAGTTCACACAGTTACTTTATCTATTAGTAATGTCACGTGACATATTTCTCAGTACTAGAGAAAGAATAAAATCATCAACCAATGGGAGAATATTGTGATAAATGTAAAGAACTCTCTACATCAATTATCTAATTATTATGAGAGTAAATTAATACAAATCTTACTTTATTTCAGGATCAGATGATAATAACACAGGACCATCACGACATGCCCTTGTCAGTCTCCCTGCAGGAACTGTTTTCAGACTCCAATGCAACCAAATCTCTCAAGGGAGACTATAGTTTCCTCATGAAAATGGAATTTCCTTGGCTGAGTTACTCTCCAGAGAGCCAGAGCTTTCTTATTATGATGGCATATATTACAGTGAAGATAGAGTCTGGAAAATTCCGTTCTGGGAACAACTGAAAACTGACTTGTGAGGACTAGAGCAAGTGAGAAGTGCATCCTCCACTTGCATATTGCAAAATCTCATATGCTGAGATGCCGCGATTCCAAGGTCGCATCCTGGACCCACACAAAGAATGCTACTTCTGAGACACGATATTAACTGGAACATCAGATGGGATCAATGTCCATTCTACACAGGAGCACAGACAATCCAAAACTGCAAGTGACAGCCAATTTTCCCATTAAGTTGAGTGTTTATTCATGTTTATGGACTCTCTTTGATAAAAAAAAAAAAAAAGCATGGTGCCATTTTCATTTCACCCTATTTTGCTTTTCATTTTTTCTTAACAAAGATAATCTTCAGATGTCCAATATGCAGCTAAAATATAATTACTAAGGGGCTTGATAATTCTGTAAACATTGGTGACAGGCAACCACATTAAAATTTATTGTACTAAAAGCAGCAGTGTGTCAAAGCTTAACATGGTGAATTGAATATATGAGTTTGTCACCTAAAATTGACTCTAAAGGAGTAATTCTAAGGAAAAAGAATGACAACAGATATCAGAAAGATTTTTATAGATGGAAAGCAGAAGGACACATTGCAACTTATTAAGCAGACTAGAGATTGTTGAATGCTGAGCCAGCAGTTCAGAGGAAAGAAAAAAAAGTTAAAAAAAATTTTGTGTCCCAGAACCGTGGAATGGCTCAATATTGGGAAAAGCAGTTACTTGTGAAGGCAGGTACACAGAGGAAGGACAAAACAAAACAAAACAACAATGACAAAAAAGTATGTGTTGAAAGTCCATTTAAAAGCAAATTGATTCCCGTATTTTCTTCCTTTATTGCTTCTTTGCCACCACAAGAAAGGAGCGGCTTGAGGTCATGCCCAGAGTTGAAGAAAAAAAAAAAGGTACAGGTGAAAATCTATGCTGAAAAGTAGGATAAAGTAAACTACTCCCTGCTTCAAGTTCCAAGAGTGCTGAAAGTGAGGCATTTTTGGTGCCAGCAAATGACTAAATTGCTAAGTTCCTAGCTATCCCAAGAGAAAAACCAAAGGTACTAATATCTGAATATCAAGGGAAAATGTCCCCAAGACAGAGATGGTCAGAAAGGAAAGAAGGGAGGGAGGAAGGAAGGGAAAAATAGAAACTGAGATGTTACCTACATTGGACGCTGCTTGCTACGGTTTGGATATGGTTCAGCTGTGTCACACAAAGGCTCATGGGTTGAAATTTAACCCCTGTTGTGAGGTATTAAGATGGAAGGCTGGGATTGTGGCTTAGTGGCAGAGCACTTGCCTTGCGCATGTGAGGCACTGGAATCAATCCTTAGCACCACATAAAAATAAATAAATAAAATAAAGGTATCTACAACTAAATGCATACATACATGAAGATGGAAACTTAACCTCCCTATGGTGTTTAGAGATAATTGAGGGAGATAATTAAGATGAAAATCAGTAGGATGGAAGCACATGATAAAAATCTGACGGCTTTATAAGAAAAGGGAGAAAAACCAGAAGACACACACTAGGTCTTTTGCCATGTGATGCCTTGCACTGCCTTGGGACTCTGCCAACCCGAAGGCCATTGCCAGATGTGGCCCCTTAACCTTACACTTCCAGACCCCAGAGAAAAATAAGCCTCTCTTCTTTACAAATTACCCAGTCTGTCCTAATGTATAATTAGCAAAAGAAAACGGACTACATACTGTGGTACCCTGCCTCAGTCCACTTTATTGGGCCAGTGTACCCATCCCCCCGCAGACAGAGAATAGGGCACCCACCTATCTGCTCCACAGGAGAACTGTCTTTGGCCAAAAGAAAGTTACCCTGCCCTGGAGGTTACAAACTCTACATCTGTCTAGCGCCCAGTGACGGGAACCAAGTGCTCAGAGTTCACTCTGCCCCAACAGCACCCTTGGGACCAGTTTATAAAATTAGACCCCAGTTGAAAGGTCTTATACTTATTTATTTCCTGTCCCAGACCTGTGCCCCTTTCACTCCTGTTCTTTTGAGTGCACTTATTCAGTAAATTAAATGCTGCAAATCTCTTTCCCAGGCTTTTTGTCTAGGGAACTTGAGCCAAGACCTTATCTGATATATTTTCATACATTGAGAGGAGCTTTACATCTCTGACTGTTTTAGAATGTGCTTCCATGAAAACAACAATGACAGAAAGAGGTAACTCTTAAACCATCAGGATAACAAAAATTTATGCAAGGAATAACATAAAGCAATCATGTTACACTGTATGACTACATGATGGATATACACAAAATATTCATTTAATTTAAATATAAGAGATTGGGGGGATATTTGAATATCTATTGAAAGAATATTTGCATGGATTTGGGGGTGAGTCATAAGAAATGTAACCCCACTTCTGAGGTGAATAAGTCAATAAATAATCCCTGAAAATCTTAAATGGTAGTTGTTTAGAAAGATGAAGTTAATTATCAGAAGAAACAGTTACAGGTTTGAACTTGGCTGCCTTGGAAGAGCAAAAAAAGGTAGAGAAAGGCAAGGCTGTTCTTAATGATAAGACTTATAGGATTAGTTGAATTTTTAAATTTCATACATGTACTTGTTTATAAAATAAAATTCACATTTAACATGGTTATGCACATGAAAGAGTACACACTAATTTTAGAAAATTCAGAAAATAAAAAGACTGTAAAAATAATCTATAGTCTCAATATCCAGAGACAATATTTTTAACATTTTGTTGTGAATCTACCCAGTCTTTTTCTTTGATTATTTTATTTTCCACAATTTAATTAAATACGCAATTTTATTTATTATCATAAGCATTAAATGACATTATTAAAATTTTTACAAGTATAATTTTGCTGGCAATCTATCTCATCATATATATTTTATATTTTCCTCTCTTTTTTTGTATTTTCTAGAAATTCCATAAGCTTCTTTATTATAAGCACTGTTGAACTGCATACCTATGAAGACAAATTATTTTTTTGTACTTTGATTATTCTCAGTAATTTTTAACATGCAGTATCAACTGACTTTTATCCCTGGATCTATCAATTAATATGGGTTTTCGAACCTGAAATCATTTCAACAAAATTTTGTCACAATAAGACAATTCAGAGGTACTGTAAGTTTCATTATAATGAGATGTTACCTGTGTAAATGATTTTCCAGTTCTTAGGTTTTAGGAGTTTGCCATCTCCCTCTGGGAAACTTTTCACTTTCTAGTACAACTTCAAGCTCTCCCCAGTGAGCACTAAAACAAATAAGTCATTCATTTTTCTTGCTGCATTTGCCTCTTCTGTCATTGCATTCATTTCAATCTCTCTCGAGGGGCTTATAATCTTCCTTTCCTGTCTTCTCACTTCCACATATATTTATGAAACTGTCCATTTTTCTTCACAAACCATGCATTCTTTCTGAAGGCCTGCTTATGATTTATTCGATTATATGTGCTTTTGTTCTACCTTGGTAATATTGATTTAGATTTCTTATCTTCTAGGCCTTTTTATTGTGCACAACTTTGACGTTTTCCCTAGATATCCATCCTGTTCATTTTCTTCTTCAGCTAATGTTTATTAATAACAGCCACCACTGTTTAACTCCCAATGAGTTAATAGCAACCATATGTTGAGTCCCGACTGTATGCCAGGCATTTTTTCTTCTCTACAACCCTGTAAATTAGGCATTAGTGGTATTCCATTTTACACCAGAGGAAACAATTACCAATTGTAATACAAAACACTTGGACCTGCTATTTCTTTGAAATAAAGCACTTCCACGCCACTCCATAAAAATTGGGAATGGGAGAAAGGAGCCTTTTGTTTGTTGGTTAGTTTTAAACAATTATACTGACTCAAACTAATTTGTGTCAATTCATGTCTATTAGAATTCCTACATTATTTTTTGTCAAATAAAACCAAGTTGCAAGTTTTCTTTCCATTCTATGCCCACAACTATTCTTTTCCTTGCCTGAGAGAAACTTTATAGGTGCCGACTAGCAACCTGTTGAAAATCAAACACTGATCATTTAACTGTGTGACTCCCTAGCATTCAAATGCATGGCTCCAGGTGGACAAGTGAATATGGGAAGAAAATCGTTCTGGATTATATTTGTCCATATATAGTACTACTAAGAGGGGAAAATATTTTTAAAGCAAACTCTTGCAAACATCGTTCATTTTGCAGTGTAATCTACTTATATCTGAAACATACAACTGCCCTTTCTAAGAAATGTTATACTTCCAATTATTTCACTTTATTTTTCATCATTTGATACCAACAAGTACCTAAAAGACTGGAGTCTTCATAATGTGCCAATCCGATACAAAGATCCCTGAGCGGTAGTGATTCCCTGACACCCTTCACCTTCTACTGATGGTAGGAGGTACTTCTGAACCAACCAAGAGTACCATGTCAAGGATCATCCAAAACACTTCATTCACAATCTTTCCTTCATATTGGCCTAATCTGTCCTTTTTCCTAGTTTGACTTACATTATCCCATTAAATCCTTAAAGCAACTATATCACTACATAATTTAGTTTCTTTTCCTGCATTCATGAGCAAGGGGGCAAAAGAAGCCTTTTAGGAATGTATTACATATATTCAGGTCACAATTTCTCCTTTATTTCTATTTTTTTTTTCTGGAATATGGATCTTTGCCTCTGAGTCCTAGGTTTCTCCCTTCCTTTTCATCTTCTTCATGTTTGATGCACTCCATGTTACATCACACGTGGAAGCTTTTCCTGGACCTCTTTATTCTCACCCTTTCTTTATATACTTCCTCTTTTACACTAACCCTGCTTCCTAGGCTTTTGATATCTACGTGTTTCCTTCTCCCACCTCAGTACTTATCTTTGCCACAGGCATGCCGCTGTTCTC